TATTTTTAAATGGGGTGTTCACATGGAGGGGGGGGGGGAATGGGGATGTAAACATTGACGCTTAGTACTATATATATATCGATATATCAGTTATTAATTTATATTTTATTATTGACGATTTACTATAAGTACTATTGTTTCTAACATTTCTTCATTTTTTAAGAATTAAGAATTTTTACAATTTTATCGAGATTATCAATCATGTTTTTTATTTAATTGTAGCAATTTGAGACTAACTATAGTTTATTCACTATTTCATTACACCATCACTGTTAGTTGACTTGTTTTGTGTCAATTTCGCGTAGAATAAAGAACAGTGAAGTACGATACTACGGCACTCAACAACTAAATAAGACATAATTTTTTTATTTTTCTTTATCTAATATTATATTTATTAGTTTTGAAGATTATTATTCTTACCGTAGCAGCACCTTCTAACGATCCTACAAACAATCCACCAATATTCCAAGAGAATCCTTTGGTACCTCTTTGCAAGAGAAACAGTATCATTTTTTGTAATCGCAACGGAGCTATGTACCACTGAACGTTATACCTACATCATAACAAATTAATATGATTGAGAAATATAAAAGAAATCTGCGAACAAGTTTATCTCATACGTTTCTTAAACTATATTAATTATACGTTTTATTAAATTGCTCCAGACAAATGTGCTCCATACATGTGTCCACGTAATTATATTATACAAATATTTCCTTACACAGTGGCAGATACATTATTGTTGTAATCCATAATTTCTTGCGCAAAATAGTTGCTCAGAACTATATAAATTAAATTGGTTATGATAAATATTGAATGTAAATAAAAATCCACAATATTGATGCCATACGATATCATCTGTAAAATCTAAAGTATAAGCACATTCAAGATCTTGATTAAAACTAAATAAAGGTCAATAATGTCAAGTAATGATTAATTAGAACTATTGATGAAAAGTTGAAAATAATTAATCTTGGTACTGTTATTTACTTTACTATTCAAATGTGTGATTAAGAAAGGATAGTATTTACCCGAAAAAAGTTAAGACTAGTGTTAATTACCCCGACTATTATCAACCAGATAAACATTACATTAAATTTAGATTTCAACGCTTCAATAAATCTACAAAAGAAAAAGAATATTACTGTACGCATATTCTGCACTTACCGAAAATTATATATATTCCATAGTTACTATCCTATGAATTCTAACTTCATAGCTTTGCGATGCATGTCCACAGCGTAAATTAATCCCTTGTAAATCAAATTCTCATTCACCCTGTTTTTCCGTAAAATTTCATATTTCATCGCTTGTTTGATACGATAACTGCAAGTGATTATTCTCCTATTATAATTATATAATTCCTTTAATTTTTCTAATTTTTCTAATATTTTACATCTGTTTATATATTTATTCTCGTACCTGGCGATTCGAAACATTCCACATGCATGTTTTTGATAAACTACCAATATTGTTCCTGTTGCTAACATTGCGAAAGCGCCTATAACTAAGGCCACAATTGCGTGAAAAAATATCAAATAGAAGTATTTTTCTTGATTGACAAAATATTCGACTACAAACGGCAGCGTAGAATGCGATCGAGTTCCATTTATAGGGAACAGAATATCGAAAATTTGTGGCCAAAATGCATAGAAAATTAAAATGAATTCAACGGAAAGGGTAAACACTGAAAGATATTTAAAAATTAATTTAATTAATAAGTAAACTTATTAGTTATTAACTTTGTATGTGACGAAAGTAATTTTCTTACAAAAACATACAGCTGTGAAATATTTCCCATAATTTCTGTACTTCTTTATGATATTGACTTCATTCTCGTCAGTTAGCTCGTTACAGATATGTTTCATTTGATTCATTAAATATTTTATCTGCCGTTTTAATAAGTGTCTGTGTCGTTTTCTTATTAAGCTCAAGAAAAGTTTTATTTATATTATATATTGAAATTTATATTTTAAAAATGTTTATTTGTGAGCAAAATGGATACTTAACATATGACAATTGTTTTACTTACGCTTTTAATATTAACACTAAATGAAATGTATTTAATCGCATACAGAGTATGAAATAATGCATTAGAGAGAACGTTGACGAATAATTCTGAAGTACATTTTGAAGTCGTAAAAGCAGTAAGCTGGAAAAATAATTTTACATTAATTTTTAACGAATTAAAATTACTATCTCCTTTGTCCAATGATTAGTCGAAAATTAGTCGGAATGCTTTTTAATTGCTTTTTATTTATAATAGTTTAATATTTTTACAGTTAAAATAATTGTTTATTCACAATATAATCACAAATAAAAAATCTATTTATATTTTTAATTATATGTTATTGTATCTTTAATGAATCTGACAGTAAAATCCTACGAATAGAAATGTTACAATAATAATATTAGAAATTTAAATTTAATTCTTTGGTTTCTCTCTGATATATCTCTAGTTGCAATAATCAAATTATAACAAATTAAAATTTAATATTTTATTTTACTATGTTAATTATTTTATTAAATTTAAATTAGACTTGTAAGAATAAATCAACTATAGTGAATTAATGTTTATCGAACGGATACGGGTGTTGATGTGTTTATTCACGATAGGCATTACTTTATTATAATTGATTAATTATTTTATTATTTAGTTACACGTTTACAATTAAAAATGTTAACGTACCTGAAATATAATAAAACTTGTCAAAATACCAATAAATAAAATTGCTCGGAGCCGGACAAGTTTAGATTGTTGATAAGGCCATAGACCTACTATGGTTAATAGAAACTGATTGAGATTGAATCTGATATTATAGAATTTGTCCACACAGAGCATTTCTTCATCAGTATTGGTACGCAATTGACGAGGAAATGATCAATTCTTTCTTTCGTTTGTTTGCCGTTCAAATATTCTACAGCTTTATTTCTTTTTTATTTGAATTTTAAGTCGAATCGTCTAATTTAATTTAAATGCAATACAAAATAAACAAAATACCTCCGTGAGATCGAAACATTTGGTCATTTACATCTTTATTCCGAAGGGTATATTAAGCGATCGATTTAATTATGTAATATGCAACAGATGTTTATTTCCCATAAAGAAACACTTCGTAAGAGGGAATTGTGTGACAGTGGACTGCGCAGGTGTGGTTCAACCCTTTCCCGTACAATATATTTTAACGTAACTCATCCTCGTGTGTGCTGTCTTAAATGATGTTTGATTCTTGAGAGAAGAGTTCCTTAGTTCGACGTAAGGATTATCAATATATTGCTAGTTATTACATAATTGTCATAATTCTTGTTGAAAAGGTCTTCGTTAGTATTTCCTAAATTCGTTTATATTTTTTGATTAGCTGAGCTTATGATTGCAGGATTAATCAGCGTATTGTCTGCTCCTAAATACCTCATCTTTAATATTGTTGCCGAATGCGACTTTAGTAAATGTGTAGTCGCATATTAGGATTATTTTGTCGGGCTCTCTTTTAAGTTTAATATATAACTTGGAATATTAGGAATATGATATATCAAAAATATAAAAAATTGAAGAATATTTTTATTGACACTTTTTGTTAAAAATGAAAATTATACAAGTCTTGTCATAAATTTTCGTTGATTTTTTTAAAATTATTATTTATATTATCAATAAAACATAAAAAATTATAAAACTAACAAAAATGTCAGTATAGGCTCAGCAATAAATTGAAATTATGTTTGATTGTGTTAATATTATATTAATTTCATGTAGAATACAGACCGGTATAATAAGATATATTTATTAGTTGTAATAAACTCGTTAAAAAAATATTTTGCTCGGCATATTGTGCTCAATACGTAAATATATCTTTTATCATGGCAGCGTTTTCTTTCCTTTTTGAAACCACAAACAATCCACCGAGAGTCACATTAAAAAATTTAGTATCTCTTTGCAACAGAAATAATAACATTTTCAGTATGTGTAAAGATGCTACGTATCATTGAACGTTATATCTATGGAATAAACACAGATTTCTATATACTATAGATTGCTAACTCTGAGAAATGAAGTGAAGTCAAATAATTCAGAAGAGGCGGTAGTAGCCATCTTTACCCAGTAATGAGTTACATTTCAAAATGTCAAAATTTTAACCAATATTATTAAATGTACACTAATACCACTTCATAAAGCACTGTATGTGCTTACCGGATAAATATGGCGTCTGCAGGCTTTAACACAACTGGTAACAAACTATAGCAAGTTAGCGATCTATTCGATAGAAATCTGTGAGAATAAAAAGATGGTATCTAAGAGAATAAATAAATTAATGAATTATTTTCACTTATTCACCTAACAAATGTATACATATATATATATATATATATATATATATATACAATGCTTTCATTAACTGTTTTTGAATTATTTATCATGCGGATTAATTTGGTGGAAATTCTTTATGCAATACATAAATTATCAGAAATATTTGTTAATAAAAAGTATTAAAAATTAAATTTAACTTGTTTATTAATTTCGTTTTTGCACGGAAAGAAAATCAGTTATTAAAGAATTCTTTTTTGTATTATATTTTATTGTATAGAGAAATTCTCCAAAATATTATATATTATATACAATTTGAAAAAGAAATTTCTTGGAAATAATTCAACAAAGCTGATTGATAAATATCTTACGTTGATTTATTGTTGTCAATTTTAAATTCTGTATTTTCTTTACAAATTAGAATATATATCGATATTTTGTTTAAATAATAACTTTTATCCCTTATTGAAATGATACTTACAGGAAGCGACACCTGAAGCGTGACAGCCAAACGGTTTCAATTAAATCAATTTTTATTTTTTTATTTTATTTCTCTCTTTTTTCATTTTCTCACACCTTTACTCGCTTTTATATATGAAATTGATTTTAATTAATTTACAATTACTATTTTATAATCTTAATTCTGCCATGTAGAATAGAGAACAGTGAAATAAGATATTGAAGAACCAATCAACTGTAATGATATCTTTTTTTGTTTTATTCTGTAAAAAGTTATATTGAAGACATGTGGAGAATTTTGATTATCCAAATTAATGGTAGGACAATATATTTTAATTATCAATTTTTCCGTACAATCGAGCTACATTTTCAAGTGAAGATAGTTGAATTATTACATATTGTTCTTGAATGCAATAAAACATAAAATATAGCTAGTAACTTAATAATTTTCTTTATTCTTTTTTATTTTTTTAGCTATTATGCTAATTTATCTTTTATTCTTAATATAATTCTTAATTTTAATAGATCTGTTTTAATTCGTCATGTAAAGCATAATTCTAAAGTAATAAAAATGTCAAATGACTGGACGTTATTTTCAATAATATTAACGAAATAATAAAAGGTTCTAATATGAACTGAAATATACAGTAAGTATATTAAATTTCTTACCGTAGCGGCACTTTCCATAGACGCAATAAATATTCCGCCGAGGATCAAATGAAAAGCCTTAGTGCCCTTTTGCAATAAAAATAACATCATTTTCTGTATGTGTAACGGAGCCACGTACCACTGAACATTGTATCTACAACAAAGACAAACTAACATAGAAATTGTAAAAATATTTGTTAATAATTGTTATTACGTAACACGCATATTTGTTCTAGGAATCGTATTACGAATTTAATATTTTTGTTAACGTAGACTTTTGTTGCCAAACCATTATTTATATATAAGCATACAATGCAAATGTTTTTTACACTGTGGCAAATACATATTCATTGTGATCTGTAATTTCCTGTGCAGTATAATTGGATAAAAACAAGTACACGTAGAGGATGATTGCAATCGAAAGCGGTAGTAAAAGTTGCTCTACGCTATTGCTAAATATCGCGATCTGAAAAATATAAACGTATATGTGTATTTTAATTTCTTATGTGAAGGAGATTTAATAATTTTTTATAATTGTTTAAAATAACTTACACACAGCTTTAGTTACATAATGAATTATTTTTTTAATTACTGGTGCAGTTAAAAAATTTCGTGTCATTTTATAAAATACGTATATGAATGCATATAGCTTATATTTGTAAAAAAAAAGGCATATAAAGGATAATCATGATTTTTTTTAATAGTTCTATCGGTCTTTAAAGAAAATTATTTTTCCGTATATAAAATGTTCAATTAAAGATTTTTTAAATCAATCTTAATATTATGAAAAACGTATATCTCATGGAAAAATATATTTAATATCTACGAATAAAACTTACTTGAACAAGAGTACTGCTTAAGCAAACCATACCAGCTGCTATTAAAATGAAGAACGATCCTTCAAAACTTTTTATGAAAATTTGGGAAAACCTTCAAGAATAATGAAATATTAGTATTATGTTATGTAGATGTAGGATATATACTGACTGTGTAGCTTTGCGATGAATGTCTATTGCACAGATTATCCCTTTATAAATTATAACCATTTTCTCTTGATTAACATTTTGTTGCATATTCATCGCCATTGCTTTCTCAATACGGAAACTGCGAATAAATATTTTTTTCTGTAATTCCTTAATTTTTCTAGAACTGATTGAATGAACAGATTAAATTTCACTTATAAAACAAATGCTCGTATTTAGTAGTATTCTACCTGGCGATGCTAAACATTCCACAAATGTGTTTGAGATACGCTATCATCATTGTTCCTGTTGCTAGCATTCCAATTACCCCTATGCAAAAGGCTGTATATGTGTGCAAATAAATTAAATAGAAATAGTTTTCTTGATCAACAAAATATTCTGTCGTAATGTAAAAAATCATACGATGTGAGTTGTTCTTGGACAGAATGACATCAACAATATTAGGCAATATTGGAGCAAAGAAAAGTATAAGTGTACTGCACGCGCCAAATACTAAGATAAAAAACACCCGATGTACAAGAATTTATTTAAATAAAAGGTTTTTCTATATTATAAGTAGAGAGATTTTTTTATTGCTATTGATAATATAATTTATAAAGATGTATTACAAGCATATAATGTCTTACTCGTAAGTGCAGTCGTTTGATATTGCCCTATACGGCCATACTTTTTTATAATAGCTATTTCGTTTTTATTTTCTAGTTCGTTACAAGCATGCTGTAGTTGTTCCAGTGAAAACTTCATCTATCAGATCAATAATGCACTTTTATGCAGTTTTTGTGTTTTTTGCACAATATTTAAAAAAATGTATATTCGAAGATTTATTTATCACTGATATTTATCTGAATGAGATTGTAGTAAATTGACTTACAATATCGGCGTTAATCCAAAACGAATTATATTTAATCGCCAAACAAATGAAGAAAAACGCGGAAGACAAAACCCTGATGAGGCGATCTGCAGTGCATTGTGAAGTGATAAATGTCGTAAACTGCAAATAATAATTCTGTTGAAAAATTCATT